TTCCACCCGTAATTCCTACATGTCATATAAACCCAGATAAAGGTATTAGAAAGGTACAGATAACAAAATATTTTCTGTGTGGTGGGTAAAAAAATTGCTGCTGCTGATCATTTAATCTTAATGTTGTGCCATTTGATAATTTGATATTTTTTTTCTTTAGAAAGTTTTCTTGCACTTTGGTTGTTATGTCTGTTGTTTGAGCATACTAAAAATCTGTTTATAGACATATACTAGGTTGGTCAGAAAATCCCTTCTTTCCACATTAGGAGGAACAGAATAACAGAGTTGGAAGGGACCTTGGAAGTCTTCTAGTCCAACTCCCTACTTAAGCAGCAGACGCTATGGTCGTGATGGCAAACCAGTGGCATGTGTGGCAGAAGTGGCACGCAGAACCATATCTCTGGGCATGCCAGCTATCGCCCGTTGGTCTTCCGGGTTTTGGCACGCAGATGCGTGCTGGCCAACTGGTTGTTGCATGCATTTGGTAAGCATAATATTCCACACTTGGAATATTGCACCCAGTTTTAGTTACCATGATATAATAAAGATGTTTAGACTCTAGAAAGAGTGCAGAGAGGATCAACAAAGATGATTAGGGGACTGGAGGCTAAAACATGTGAAGAACAATTGCAGGAATTAGATAGTCTAGTTTAATGAAAAGAAGGACTAGGGGTGACATGATAACAGTGTTTCAATATTTGAGTGGCTGCCACAAAGAAGAGAAGGACAACCTATTCTCCAAAGCACCTAAAGGCAGGACAAGAAGCAATGGGTGGAAATAATCAAGGAGAGATCCAACCTAGGACTTGGAAGAGATTTCATGACAGTTAGAACAAATTCAGTCAGAATAGAGCTGGAAGGGACCTTGGAGATCTTCTAGTCCAACCTGCAGCTCAAGCAAGAGACCCTGTACCATTCCAGACAGATGGCTACCAAGTCTTTTCCAATGATGGAGAACCTACAACTTCTGAATGCAAGCTATCCCACTGGTTAATTGCCCTTACTGTTAGGAAGTTTCTCCTTAATTCCAGGTTGCTTCTCTCCTTGATTAGTTTCCATCCATTGTTTCTTGCCTTGCCTTCTGATGCTTTGGAAAATAAGTTGACCTCCTCTTCTTTGTGGCAGCCCTTCAGTAGTGGAATACTGCTGTCATGTCACCTCTAACCCTTCTTTTCTCTAGCCAAACTCAATTCCTGCAACCATTCTTGATATGTTTTTGTCTCCAGGCCTTTAATTGTCTTAGTTACTCTTTGCACTTTTCTCAAAGTCTCAATTTCTTTTTTTTAATGTGGTGCCAAAACAGGATGCAGTATTCCAGGTGTTGTCTTACTAAGGATTTCTAAAGCAGTACTAATACTTCAAGTGATTTGATTCTGTACCTCTGTTTATACAACCAAGGATTTTATTAGCATCAGTGGAATGACTTGCCTCCAGAAGTTGTGGGTGCTCCAACACTGGAGGTTTTTAGGAAGATATCAAACATTTGTCTGAAATGGTAGAGTGTTTCTTGCTTGAGCAGGGAGTTGGGCTAGAAAATCTTCAATGTCCCTTCTAACTCTGTTATTCTGTTAAGGTGGTTGTTGTGGGGGAAAATAGATCTTTTATTATGTTTGGATAGAGATGCATCCCAAATTAAAATAGTAAATGGAGATTATTACAACTGTGTGTGGACAGAAAACATAAGATGAATACCCTCTTCAATTTTTTCCAGGAGGAGAGTTTTCCTTAGTAGAAGCACCGTTACTGAAAAATCCAGTTGAGGATCTCTTGAAAGGCAATTTCACCATGAAACCTAAAATGTTAATGGACAAACCTTGACTTTATACAGTGATGAGTGCAGCATTCCATCCATGAGATATATTTTTTTCCTTTGATATAATTTTTGAAAGCAATTTCTCTTAAATCTGTGAAATCAAATTGAATAATAAGAACTGGTGGAAGGAGTGGGAAAATTAGCCTGTCTAGCACTAGCAAATAATCTTTCAGTATTTGCTGATCGCAAGAAGAAATTTTGCTTTCCCTTCCCTAATCCTTACGCAAGCCATGTTTGGATTGGATTTTAAATAGGCCTCCATAATAAGTTGTTATAAAACACATCTCAGATACAGTCAATTAAAAGATGACAGTCATGGCCAAGCTGTTTGAGATGCTCGTTTTCATGCTGAAAAGGTGATCATTTATAAAACCAGCTCCTCTCTTCATCGATTTTCAGTGATTGATTTTAACACAGCAAAATGAATTCAGTAGAGCAGTAATTGGGAACTTCTATCAAGATACTTCTCATTGATTATTATTGGCAAATCATTCATACTATTATTCTTGCCTGCAAGGACAAACAATCAAATTAATTGTGGGAAAGATAATAAACCATTTGTAAACAGTTGGAAACAAGGATTCGTTTTCACGTAATTAAGAAAAATGGCTTATGTTAAATGTCTGGGTGATCATTCTCCAGCAAACAGCTGAGCTTCCAGGAAAAGCAGCGTGTGTATGAAATCACGCCGCAAGGTTACAGAGAATGGCTACGGCGCACTTGCATTTGCTTAATTCAGATTTACTGAAGGAGCAAACAGTCTAGTCTCCCTTGGCAGATGCTCAGGAGAAAGACACCGAGGTCACACACACCAGTGTCTGTCTTCCGCTGTTACAAGAGGCATCATACAAGTCATTTGCTGGACTGCTGTCAGCTGGGTTCCTGCCACAGCTGTTTCGGGCTAGGTCCCCCGTAGTATTGTGCCTGCCAGCCAAATTGTTGGAGTCTTCTTTTGCATATTCAGGAGGGTGGGGCATTGTCTCTCTTTCTTGGTTCTGCCAGTCTCTTGCTCTTGAGTTCTGTCTTTGGTGACAGCTGCGAGACAAGAGAAGCTTGTGTTTTTGAACTGCTGTCTCTAGTTAATGAGCATTTAAACGGGGAGAAAAGTAATGCCCTTGGAGTGATTTATGGAAGGATGCTTTAAAAAATATCCCTAATATTTATCAGGATAACACAAGGGGTGGGAGGGTTGTGGGTTTGTTGTGGCTGGGTTATAATCTTATCCAGTTCATGGCATGGGCTTTCATCGCTCGATTCCTCCAAACTCATTTCTATTAATTAAATGCCTTCGGGAAAATGCAATTGCGCTTTGAAATGTGGATTTGATTTCTGTATTTAGAAGAGGGGGTTGTTTTTCTGCTCTTCTTTACATCCTGACACAGTTTGCTTCATTTGGAATCAATAAGAGGGTTACACCAACATGGAATGGCTTAGGATTTGCCACTCGTTTGTGTTGTAGCTCTGCCATTCTCAATCACTTAAGCAACTCCATAACCCCAGCATCATGATAAAGGGTAGCAGGTTAGGACATTTGTATGCCAAGCTAATTGCCCTTTAGGAACATCTGAAGCTAATAAATTACTGCGCTTACCGCCTATTCACTTTGCTGCTGCTACCCAAAAGTACCCATTTAACTGTGCCCTGGGGCAGAGAGAGACATATTAAATGCCTCATTAAGAAGAAAAAGAGAAACAATCAACCAGCAAGCTGAATCTTCCTTAACCAGCAAAGGTGTCTTCTTGCTGTGCCTGGGAAAAAAAATCTCATCTTGCAATATGGCATGATTTTGTTTGCCTCCAAAATAGTACAGCTGTGTCTTCTTCCCTTGCAAGAGAAGGGGAAGGTCCTATGAAGATGATGTCTGCAAAGATATATGGATAGTGATAAAGCCTTGAATGGCCTGGGAGAATTCTCCAGTGCCCCAAACTGTTTGCCCTACAAGATAGCGTAATAAATGGGAGTGGTATAGTGGCCTAGAGGTGGAGCTCTCACCTCACAATCAGGAGGCTGTGAGCTCAATCCTAGGTAGCACCAGTTATTTCTCTCTCTTTGGGCACAGCGAGTAATAATCTGCTGCGAACTCTGCATTGGTGATAGGAAAGGCATCTAGCCAGTAAACACTCAGCTCCATTCAGTTGCCCAACTCTACCCCTAGGATTATAGGAGCATTAAAAGATTTGCCAGGATGGATCTATGAGGGACTTTGAGAAAAATATCCCACCTTGAAATAAAGTGTTTCTAATGAAATTGCATGGGATAACTTTCACCTTATGAGCCTAAGGAAACAGATAGAAAATGTACACTAGAGCTAATGTACACCTTAGATTATTTAAGAAAAATGACTAGGCAGATCCAGGTAGGGAAAATATTTCTTTATGTGACAGATTGGGGCCAGAAGTCTTAAAGATAGCAGAGGGGGCATCCACTTCTGAAGAAACTGTCCATTCAGCCCTTTTAAAAACACCTTTCATGGGCAACATGTTTGAGAACATTGTCACTGTGCCGTAGGAGAAGATAATTAAATATACATATCTGTACATGTATAATAAACAGTAAAAGAGTGCTAAGTGGGTGTTTTTCAGTAGTGTCTGATACTGTTTTCTTTTATTCAAATATAGCATCTTAATGATTTTGAGGAAATAGCACATTTTTTCATAAACCTTTATCCACTAAAACATCTCCAGTATAGCGATTTTGAAAAAGGGGATAAAACATATTTGCAATTTGAAAGAATGAAAGGAAACATATTTTCAGGAATACAGGTGTTCACATTTTACTATAACAATTTTTTTTTCTTAATTGAAAAGAAAAAAAATGAAGACAACTATAAAACAGATCTACAAAGATGATGGTACCTTTCTTTTTTATTCTCTATGGTTCCAAAATAATTAATAAACCAGCAGTAGCTTGGTTAAATGTTTGGATGACCACCATATAAATCCTCAGCCCCGTGTTATGATTCTTCTGCTATGTACATACAGAGGTGTTGTTTTTTTTTAGATGACTGTCAAATTCAGGGTAAAAGCATTGGTGTTATATAATGAGATTATTCACAAGAGACTCTTTAGCCTGATAGGTAATTTGAAAACCAATTAAATTAATAATGCAGGTAACCATCCTTGCCACAACTGTAAACATGTGCTTGCATAATTCACTTACCCGCGTTGGTTTTTTTTTAAATCTCTAGCGATGTGATCCCAGTATAAGGCAAACAAGGACTCGACATATACTACGAATGCCTTTAAAACCCAAGACCTGCCCTGAAAGTGCACAGCACAGGCCTTGCATTCTGAATCAAAATTGTTTTCAATATAGTTACAATTTAACAGGTAAGCATCCTTCATTGTAATTTGGAATGAAATTTAGAGCATTCTGCCCAATACCCATGTCAGACTGGCAAAGGTATATACTGTAGAGATGGTGTAGCATTAGGAATACATAACTTTCACTGGACTTGAACTTTCAAGGGAGGCCATTTTGAAAATAGCTAGAAAGTTCATGTATTTATTCATTCATGATAATTTATGAATTGTAAACTTATGAATTAAGTTCTTATAGAATTATATACAATTATATACAATTATATATAATGTTACTATATTTGCTATAATATAAATTATATTTATATAATGTATAAATACATTATATAATGTATAAATCCCCTGACTTACAACAGTTTTTTAGTGACCGTTTGAAAGTTACAACAGCCCTGAAAAAAGTGACTTTATGACCATTTTGCACACTTACAAAAGTGTTACATCCCTATGGTCACGTGACCAAAATTTGTATGTTTGGCAACTGGCATGTATTTATGATGGTTGCAGTGCATCAGGAATATGGTATCACATTTTGCAGCTTTATGAGAAGCAAAATCAATGGGGAAGCCAGACTCACCTAACAACTGTGTTATTAACTTAATAATTACAGTGATTCACTTAACAACTACAGCAAAAAAGGTTGTCACATGGGGCAAAACTTACTTAGCAAATGTCTCGCTTAACGACAGGAATCTTAGACTCAATTGTAGTTATAAGTTAAGGCAGTGTTTCTCAACCTTGGCAACTTGAAGACGTCTGGACTTCAACTCCCAGAATTCCCCAGCCAGCAGTTGCCAAGGTTGAGAAACACTGAGTTAAGGAGTACCTATATTATATAAATGTTTAATTTTCCTGAGGATTATAACTACCTGTGAGCAGCATTTTTTATAATCTTTCAGCGGTGCTAAAAAGATGCTTGAACGGTTGCTGAACAAACATTTGGTAAACGAAGACTATGTATATTCCTAACTGGCATTATATATGTTAAGTTGCCTTATCAGTGACAGGGATGACATATAAATTTAATAAATACTCTGTTTCCCTGAAAATAAGACCTCCCCAGATAATAAGCCCAATCAAACTTTTGAGCACATGAGCTAAAATAAGCCCTCCCCAAAAATATTGCAACAAAGCAGCAGCCATGAGGTGACCACACTCGCCGCCTCCTGCACCTCAAAAATAATAAGACTTCCCCCAAAATAAGGCCAAGCGCCAGGGGTCAAAAGAAAATAAGACCCTATCTTATTTTCATGGAAACACAGTAAATAGATAAATAAATAAAACAATGCCTGCAATTTTTATATGCTTTTTATTGAAAAAATATTTTTATCTCCTCTATGAAGAGCAGCTAACCAAAATATGAGCATATGCTTCAAAATTTTATATTTTAAAAATGGATCTAATGCAGAAGATAGTTCTCTTTGGGAATCATTTTTAGACTACAGTTTTCTATGTGGAATTGGACCACATCCAAAATTCAGGTTTTAGAGTTTATATTTTAACTTGGCATATTATCTACATATAATGCATTGAATTGTCTTAATGTATTGTTTTATCATCTACAGTCGCTTTCTTTCTCCTTTTTTATAACTCCAATTGTGTTAACCAAGTGACTTTAATAGAGATATTTAGTAATTTAGTAATAATCAAGTAATGTAATAGAGACATGTTTTGATTAGAAAATAGATATGAATGTCTGCAAGCTTCTTAATGATGTATTACAATATATTCATCATACAGTATTTTAGAACTGTTAGTTATCACCTGATTTTCCTGTTTATATTTGGTTCTTAATCTTTATTATCCTTTTAATATTATTTTAAGTATATTTGTATATTTTCCTTTATTTTTTCAAATTAATAATAATATGTTATTTATAAAAAATGAAACATGAAAGGCAGACATGGTTAACACTTGGACATGAGATCGCCAAAAAGTTTCAGAGTTGTGGACTCAGTTGGGAAGTTGAAAAATAATCCTGAACAAAGACATCAGTCACTTCCCGATGCTTATCTAAAGCATAACAGGAATCCATCCTCATAGACACCAGCAGTCAAGCTTCACTCAAGTGAGGTGCAAATTTGTGATTCATTGATCCTAATTTCCAAGTTCAGATTGATAAACTATAAAATGGTACTTAAAAATGGGCTCAAGATGTCAAAGATCAACTCCTAGAGGCAAAACTTTGAATTCTATAAAGAGCTACTGCCTCATGCAGAGTACAGAATGGACTTTTTATTCTAGGATTCCATCATTCCTGTCTTCCTAATGGAACCCTGTTTAGAGATATTCCCCTCATTAAAATGAAAGCACGTTCACCTAGGAATTCTATATAATATTGAGGACAAGCCATAGGGTTCAATTCACATGTGGCAAGAAAAGAAGCTGTCTTTCACAATTCTGGTAAGCAACACAGAGGTTGCACATCCAAAGAAATGAAGTGTTAAGACCACACAGAGGGGAAAATGATTTATATCATTTCATATGCATTTGAAGGCAAAAAAAAGTCATTTATTTAAGATTTCTAGCTATTTCCAACATTACCTTTGCAGAGTGGTACTTGAAAAAACAGCATTCCCTAATTGGTTATCCTAGCTTGAAGAAGATATTAATATTTTACAAGTGCTTTCTTTCAAGGGAAACATGATTTCTTTTGTCAAACAAAACTCAGTTGGAGATTATGACAAGTGTTGCTTCAAGGTAGTCGTGCTGCAGAATTATTTTTTTTACAATTTTTGGCATCCAACGGAGCAGCATGCCACTTGATCACTATGAAGTGCTACATTTCATCATCATTGGACAGTTGTTAGCATACTCAGAGGGAATGTAATCTTTAAGGGCTACTGAAATAAAAACAGAATAATTTAAGGCTGGATGGCTTCTTTTCTTCTAAATAATATTATATTGGTTTCCAAATTGTAAAAAAAAAATAGCTTAATTTTTTTTTTAAACAGTCCTTCTAGCATTAATAGGCAGAACCAATTGTAACCATAATGTCTCTTTAGACTGGAGCACATGCCAGCTAAATGAAAATTCAGCCTGTGGACAAGGGATTAGGAATCGCCTTCTAAGCTGTATTCGCAGTGATGGAAAAGCCGTGAACATGAATCACTGTGAGCAGGTGAGCTTCCATTTGGTTACTTAATGCAAATATTCCCTGGGCCCTTAAGTCACCTTGGACAGCCCATAAAATAATATCTGACTGACAACACTCAGCTTCGAAAGTGTTTTATCAAATCATTTTGGGTTATTTATTTTCCTAAATCCTACCATGTGGTCTCTTTGGAGATTCTCAGTTATCCAGGTCATGGTTGTCCCAAATGCACTTTTTCAAAGGGCAACTGGGGGTTCTTGGTTTTTTTCCCCTCTTGAAAATGTTTTACTTATCATCTAAGAAGCTTTTTCAGAACTTTTTCCTTGAAAATTGTTTCGCTTCCTCAGTTCTGAAGAAATATGTTGAATGAGAAGCAAAATGTTTTCAGGGAAAAAAAACCCAAGAAAGTCCATTTGTCTTTTTGAAAAATATCTTTGGGACAACCAAATGGTGCTGAATTCAATGAAGCCCAGAAATGTTCATATAGGAATTTAAAAGAAGGTAAATGAAAATACTTATAAACACACACTGATATACAACCTGACCCTCTCTTGCTCACTGATTTTGGAAACATTGCACCCAGGGACTGGCTAGAATGCAGTGAATAAAGTGTATTCAGATGAGATAATGTCTTCATAGAGCAGCCTGATAAGCTATGAGATCTATTCTGCACTTTGTAGGTATCTGCACTTAGGTCTCCACATAGGTTAGACTTTTTTGTATTACCCTGATTGTTAAATGAGTAAAATTGCCACCATCTCATAGATTTTAGTCTTTCAGAAAAATGCATCAAAATAAATGTCACTAACCTTCTATAGTTCCATGTGGAACCCTCCATAGACTCCATAGTGACTCCATAGAGTCACTGACATTGGTTTGTCATTTGAAGTCAGTATACAGCAGTGTTTTTCAACCTTTTTTGTGCAAAGGCACACTTTTTTCATGAAAAAAATCACGAGGCACACCACCATTAGAAAATGTTAAAAAAATTTAACTCTGTGCCTATAGGTTGTAATTCCCCCACATTAGGTGCAGTATAGTTCCCCCACAGACATACACCCTTCAGCCATACACTGTATGGCTGAAGGCTGT